GAACTTATGGTTTATTACCGTGTGCAATGACGCTGATTCACATCTCCAGACTTGATCTTTCACCTTTACCTACCCATGCGCCTACGCACGTATACATTCACACACACACACACACACACACACACACACACACACACACACACACATACACATGTGCATAACCTTCCAGGTAAATGTTGCCTGACACCGCATACAGTTCAGAACTCTTCCTCAAATAACTGGCTTACTGCCGGCTTGGCCTCTTATAAACCAAATTGCCTATTTTATTCAACTTGTTATTTAATTAAGTTAATAACGGTTCCTACATTGCAGACAAAAGGGGCGCGGGAAATCTGCGAGTACCTACCTACAGTAGGCAGTCTGCGGTGGTGGTGATGGTGAGGTAATGACCGCACTGGGCAGTTGATGACCCACTAAGGTCGTTGTCACACATACACCGGCAAAACCGGATGCGGTGACGCAGACGGCACCGGATGCAAAGTAACCCAGTGACAAGTTTTAACACAGAGCCCGGTCCGGCAGAACTATTTGATTACATTACATTCGATGCTTTCTCTGCCTTCGGCTCTAATTTTGCCCCTGTATGCGTGAAAAGGTCGGCTCTGTGGCTAAGTCGATGCGAACGCTTCGTAATGCCAGGGTGCCGGGTTCGGTCCCAGCTGAGGGCCATGCGCCGTGCGTTGGTTTCGACAGTGGTATCAAAAAAGCCGACCGTCCAGAGGCAAGGGCAAACTACTGGACGTAAATTTGCCTAGAAAAACCACACAACAGCCAGGGGCCGTTGGGGTTGGTTCTGCAACGTCCTGTAAAGGATACGCAACTAACTTATGTGTGAATACATCCGTAAGTGGTTAGTTAGTTGCGTATCCCTTACAGGACGCTGGAGAACCAACCCCAGCAATGTTTGGCTGTTGGGGGTTTTCTAGGCAAATTTACGTCCAGTAGTTAACCTTTGCTTCCTGAGCGGTCGGCTTCTCAATTCCACTGTCGAAACCAACGGAAGGTGAAAGTCCCGCAGCTAGAATCGAACCCTTCACCCTGGCATTACGAAGCGCGTTCGCAACGCTTAAGCCATAGACACCCTCTCCGTAAGAGAAGTAGAATGTTATCCTCGGCAAAGTGTCAGTACTGTCTACATTTACCACTTCTGCCGTATAGAAAAGGGGGTGGGCAGGGGTGGAAGGGAGAGAGAGTTTGGGGTCTTTGAGTTTGAGGATACAAACCTCATAGACTGTGCAGGTTAGGGGTCTTTTTTTTTTGGGCCACCGAAAATGACCTTGGCCTTCAGGTCGACCCAGCCATAAGTAGGAATCAGGTGAGGTCCTGGGAAGTAGAGATGATCGGCGTGGTGTTGGTTGACCCTATAGAGTGCAGATAGGTCTATAAAACATGGAAAAGGGTCCTATACTTATTTTGTAAACAATTCACACACAATGTGCTCAACAAGAAAATAAACATCAGCTAGGACAGAAACATTTAAGCAACAAAAACAGAAACATTCACACGACAAGGCTATAAACATGTCAATAACTCTGATAAAAACATCTAAATAACTAGGACTAGATAGAAACACAAAGAAAACCGGATCATAATTAACATCGGAAACTAATTTCCCTTTCACCCATAATTAAACACACATACATACATACAGCTAGCTCTGTGGCTAAGTCGATGCGAACGGTTCGTAATGCCGGGGTGCGGGTTCGATCCCATCTGCGGGCCATGCGCCTTGGGTTGGTTTTGACAGTGGTATCAAGAAGCCGAACGTCCAGGAAGCAATGGCAAACTACTGGTCGTGAATTTGCTTAGAGAAACCACACAACAGCCATGGGCTGCTGGGGTTGGTTCTGCAACGTCCTGTAAAGGAAACGCAACTAACACACATACAAAAACAAAATCCATTGTTCAGTGTTAGCAACAGATAGTTTTGCCATTTTGCCACCAAAGTGAATGTCGTAAAAATGTTACTATTTGGGAATTTGATGAAACTGGACGAGCTTAGCATAAAGACCTAGGATCGCAGATTAGCTGTAAACCACAAAATGTGCCAACAACAACAACAAGAACAAGAACAAGAAGAACAAGAAGAGGGAGGGGAAGAAGAAGAAACAGAAAAAGAAGAAACATAAAAATAACACCGTGGATGGCTGAAGAAAATATAGAATGGACAGATAGGCGAAGTTATAAACAGATAAATAATAGGTGGATACACGAATAAACTAGCCGACCAAATTTACAAATCATAAACTATAAAACAAAACAAATCAACCGAATATCCACAATTTGAGAACCACTCCAAAGGAAAAACCAGTTCTCTGCTTTGCTTGATATACAAGTAGAAGTATTTTTAAAATGCGCTGTCCGAAATAATCAGGGGAGTGTATGCACGACACGGACTTGCTTCTGCAGCTCGCATTTTACACAATTATGGCCCATGAACTGAACAGATACCCCAGTACCTGGTACTTCTATAACCTGCAGCTGTTAAAGACGTTTCGTGTGTGACTTTAATATACGACACGTTTCTGAGGGGAAACGTTCAAGACGAGGAGGGGGAGTTCGTCCTCTTTTTCGGATAGCTAAGTGTTTTCAAACTGAATGCGCGATTCCATCTGCTCCTCCTTATCCCATTACTGCACATCCTTCTTCTCCTCACTTTATTCCACTTCCGTCATCAGCATCAACATCGTCATCATTATTATTAGCATCATCATCCTCATCATCATCATTATCTTCATCCCCAAGATACCTTTCTTTCTTTCTTTCTTTCTTTCTTTCTTTCTTTCTTTTTCTTTCTTTCTTTCTTTCTTTCTTTCTTTCTTTTCTTTTTTCTTTCTTTTCTTTCTTTTCTTTCTTTCTTTCTTTTCTTTCTTTCTTTTTCTTTCTTTCTTTTCTTTCTTTCTTTTTCTTTCTTTCTTTCTTTCTTTCTTTCTTTCTTTCTTTCTTTCTTTCTTTCTTTCTTTTCTTACTTTCTCTTACTTTCTCTCATCTCTTCTTCTTCTTCTTCTTCTTCTTCTTCTTCTTCTTCTTCTTCTTCTTCTTCTTCTTTTACACCTACAGATATTCATCAACATGTACTTCGCAATCCACTAGTGGTCTGCAGAAATGTCTTGTTACTCCGTCTTGATTCCGTTACTACATTGCTGCCTAGCGAGCCAGACGTTGTACCTGACAATTTGGCACCAGAAGCATAGGCGTGGCTACCAAATGGCAGTGTTGTTTTAGTCTTACCTGTCCATGACACTCTGTCATATCAGTAGGAAACATCAATCAGAGAATGGTATGGATGTCACTTCAGCGCTTTTTCTATCAGAAACTATGCCCCAGCCCAGCATAAAATATTTTCTAACTTCTAAACAGCATATGTCGTAAGCTGGATTTAACAAATAAATTGACTATTGTTATTTTTGTGCCTGCTTTTGTTCTGCAATCGGTTTTGCCGATTCGTTTATGTAAAGATCAAAGAACCCTAATCTGGCCTGTTGTGCTTCTCTTTCGGAGCAAACTGGGAGATTGAGCGAACCACGCCACTTTTGTCTTTTTCAGGGGCATAGACGACTCAGAGATACCGTGTCAGATTCTAGCCCACGAAGTACTAGAGTTTGAACACAACCCCATAAAACGATCCTGATACTTGACATGTATTCCAGTCTGTGGATGTAATAGTTAGCTTTCTTAGACAGAGAATGCCTTTTGGAGTGTGTACTTCTTAGAGACATCTCGTACCTCTCAGTCTTATCACCACAGCCATAAAGTTAGTCATACAGGGACATGTGTTACACTGTACGACTACCGAGTCTAGCCGCAACTGGTCCCAGTGCTGGATTTAGTCATAAGCGTTTCTTCTTCTTCTTCTTCCTCTTCTTCTTCTTCTTCTTCTTCTTCTTCTTCTTCTTCTTCTTCTTCTTCTTCTTCTTCTTCTTCTTCTTCATCTTCTTCTTCTTCTTCTTCTTTTCTTCTTTTTCTTGTTCTTCTTGTTCTTGTTCTTGTTCTTCTTGTTCTTGTTCTTCTTGTTCTTCTTGTTCTTGTTCTTCTTCTTCTTCTTCTTCTTCTTCTTCTTCTTCTTCTTCTTCTCTTTCTTCTTCTTTTTCTTCTTCTTCTTCTTCTTCTTCTTCTTCTTCTTCTTCTTCTTCTTCTTCTTCTTCTTCTTCTTCTTCTTCTTCTTCTTCTTCTTCTTCTTCTTCTTCTTCTTCTTCTTCTTCTTCTTCTTCTTCTTCTTCTTCTCCTCCTTCTTCTTCTTCTTCTTCTTCGTCTCCTTCTTTTCTCTACTTTTCAGTGTCTCAGATAGTTCTGTGTTTCATCTTTTGCGTGTAAATCTTGTTACATGGCCAAACCATTTGATTTGTTGGCTACCTATAAAGTTCAGTATTGGTTCTGTGCCGACTCTCCGCCTGATATCACCGTTCCTAAGTTAATCTTTCCTCGTTACACCTAACATAGTATGGAAACATTTCATTTATGAAGTTACTATTTTCCTTCCGACTTGCCCATCTATATTGACAGTCTTTTTTTGGCTGTATGGACCTTTACAAGATAAGGTGACGATGGGCTTCTGTGAGGCGAGAAGCTACTGAATGACTCTGCCTGGTTGTACCTTACGGGCTGCTGCTCCAATGCTAGACATTTCTAGGACGCATACAGTTGTACCATGAGCAACAAGTGTAATGACTAACTGTTTTTTCTGGCTTGCTATTTGAAAGGCGAACCACCCCGGCAACTCAAAGAGATGCATACTTAGTGGATATCCAATACGGCGAATCACAGATGCCCATTCAACCTCCCAAAAAAAAAAAATTATAAGTAGTGCTTCCATAGGAGGTACTGAAGCTAGAACTCTAGTTTTTTTTTTTGATCAAGCAAGCAGCAGTGCAAAAACAGGCATATATGTTTATATATATATATATATATATATATATATATATATATATATATATATATATATATATATATATATATATATATATATATATATATATATATATTATTATTGACCAACTTACCTTCTCATATTTGAGATCGTTATATTTCTTCGACCTTTGTTCGTCTTCATCAGGACTCTGTGAGTAAAAATAAAACATTTTTTTTTCTCTCTAACAGTGTTGATTACTAATTGCTAAATCCTTTCGTTCAGTATTTTCTTGTAGTGTATAACTCAGTTTATAAACAGGAGTATGTACACCAATTAACTAGCAAAAACATATCAGTCTGTCTACGTGTCTGCTTGCATGTTTATATTGTTCTACTTCTGTAAACTCCGGACCCAACTTGTGTCCCCAATTAGTCGACTTCTACGACATGCTTGCTCGAAAGACAGTGGACCTATTCTTATTTTCTTCCGACAAAAAGGCCCCAAAACCCACACGGAGACCTGTCTATATTAATTCCAAACATTCCAATTTTAAAAAGGGAAATAACTTAACATCACCTGCCTCTAAATAACTATAGTTATTTCCCTTTAGTCAAAAAATAAAACAAGTTGCTTCCTTCCAGGAACTAGAGGTTGTCGCGGAGTATTTTTCATCTAACGATAGTTTTGCCCATTCCTTCGTATTGTATATTGTCAATTGATTAACTTTTAAACAATGTATTATAACTAGGGCTGTACCGAATGGTGATTTTCGCTATTCGGCCGAATACGAATAACGGGACCAACTATTCGGTCGAATTCAAATACGAATACGAATAGTGTATAGTGTATGAAATATATCTTAAAAAAACGCACGCACACACACACACACACACACTATTATAATGTCAAATGTACGCTGAACTTTTACTTCACATAAAGTAGCACAGAATAGTCATTTTCTTCTTTAGCATTCTGAGCCCTTGAGGTTTACTGCTGCAGATATCACTCGTCTCCATTCATCTCTCTGGCTGGCCTTCTCTTCACAATTTGTGACATCAGTTGTTTGCAGGTCTGGCTGGACATTATCTCTCCAACTTCTTTTTCGTCTGCCTCGTGGTCTACGCACATTCCTCTCTCAGGTGTATACAGTTTTACTCCTCTGTCTTCTGACAATCTTTCAATATGCACCAAACATTTTAGTCTGTTAGCTCTCATGATGCCAGTGGTCAATGGTGATTTAAACAGATTATGTGTTACGCTGTTGCTTCTCACTCTCCATTCCCCGCTGTTAGCATCTTTGATGGGTCTAAAGATTTTTCGTAAGACTGTTTTTGAAAACCTGTAATAAGGCCTTATCTGTTTCATTTCTGCTTCAAGTTTCAGAGCCATATACACCGACTGGTCTTATCAATTTTTTTTTTATATTTTGATCTTGGTGTTGCGGGACAGACACTTTGACTTTAGCATATGTTGAAGGGCATAGTATACTTTATTTCTAGATTGTATTCTAGATTGTATTTCAGCATGTTGGAGCAGTTGAAGTTTTCACCTAAGTACTTATGTGTTTCCGTTCACTTGATTTTCATATTATCGACTTGGATGTGGCCGGAGTTTAGATTCTTTCAATGTCTAGTTAGTATTCGTACAGAATAGTGAACATTTAAAAACATTTTATGTTTTGCATCCTTCAGTCAGTCTGTGGTAACTAATTACTAGGAATGAAAGAATCCTAAGTATTATAACAAGTAACTAGACTTGGAAGTTGTCACTGACAGCTTAGTTAATGCATGAAAGCGGCATTAGCTTTCAACAAAACCAATCATTCCATGTTGTCAGCATCAAGGCCGTGTATGCAGAAGCGGGTGAAAGGTACCTAATATTCGTATTCGGCCCGACCGCAACTATTCGGGCCGAATACCGAATAGTCAATAGGTCCACTATTCGGCCCCAAAGCGAATACGAAGCGAATATTCGGGACAGCCCTAATAATAACTTTAAATTTTCGAATTCAAATCATCTCTCAATTTATATATATTCTAGTCGTCTCCATGTGGGAAGCAATTTTTCGTTATCTGAAGTTACACATCAGGAAGTCCTAAATATAGCCTAAACTGATGAAACGAGTTTCCGGGACCTCTCCAGGGTGATCCTCATCCGCATGGTGAGACTTTGTGTCACCGGTTGTTTATCGCTTGTGTGATGGGGTACAATTTACTTACTTACTTACTCTCAATTGAAACTCAGTTGGCTCCAAACTATTCTCTAATCCACGTCCCGATGTGGAACGAATTTTTCGTTACTTCGAAGCTTTATTAAGTGAAGGAGCTGCGTGGTCTCGAGGTATGGCGTCCGCCTCGAATGCTGGAGGTCCCGGATTCAAGCCCCGGAAGTAAGATCAGACGCCCGTGTGTATTGTTGAGCACGTTACAAAATCCTTTGGCAGTTGGAAATCGAAAAGAGTAGCCCAACGGCGCTGCCTGGACAAAATATGGAGATAAAAATCTACCCAAAGTATTTCAGGGTTACTACCCTTGTGTCGTGATGTTAATCCGTCGTCTAAACCAAAATCTAAACCTAAGAGAAGGAGAAGAGTGGAAACAATAGTACTGTCTGTCTAAACTGTCTGTTTGACCACTTTTTAGGGCTGTGTAGAATAAATAGTGACGGTGGGAAAAGAAGAAGAAAAAGAAGAAAAACTTTTTTATTGTAAAAGTAAAGTCGGAAGATGTGAACCAGCGTCATTGCACACAATTATAAACCATAAGTGCTATACCACCAGTACGGACAGGTGATAAGAAACTGTCCGCCTGTGTCGCCGTCCGCACGTAACTCGGTAGCTACAGCGACGTTCATCAATTCATCCCAGTGTGTCAATTCTGGTACCCATTTCTCAGAGGCTGTGTAAACCCCGTGAACCGCCCGGTTTCGAACACCAACCGTGACTGCAGCAAATCGCAGCTGGATTTGAAAGCGAGCCTCCTATCGACTGGGCTAACGCGGGTATCTCAATCGATGTAACTGCACACTGGGCTTTCCCATGCGTGTTCATTTCTCAGATGCAGCAGCACTCGAAGGTATTTCTACTAACTGTACCAGTGAGAGGTTGGTTATAATGTTTTCTATCTCGACCTCGAAGGGGCCAGAGACGTGCTTCGCTATGTTCATTCCTACATCACGTAGTCGTGTTACTGTAAGAGATGCGTCATTATCTCCACTAGACCAGTCAGTATAGCGTTGATGAAGGTGGAAGGTCGGCTCATTTGGCTAAGTCGATGCGAACGCTTGATAATGCCGGGATCCTGAGTCGATAACAGCTGTATGCCATGCGCCTTGCGTTAGTTTCGAAAGTGGTATCGAGAAAGCCGACCGTCCAGAGCAAAGGCAAACTACTGGACGTAAATTTGCTTAGAAAAACCAAACAACGGCCAGGGATTGTTGGGGTTTGGTTCTTTAACGTCCTGTAAAGGATACGCAACTAACCTTGAAGGTGGAAGACTATTCACGATACGCGTGTTCGGATGGTGTTTCTACTCTCCAAAAATAGTGCCCAGGAAATCGTAAAATAACTTCGATACAATAACAACAGCAGCAGAAACAGCAATAGTATCAACAGCAACGATTACCAGTAACAAGGACAGTAGCAGAAGCAACAACAACATGGAACAGTCACAGTAATTGGGTATATGGTTACGTTTGGCCGTGTATGATAAAGTATCAGGGATGTCTCTATAAACAGATAAAGGTCGTGTATCGTTTGTGGAGCCAGGTGTGTTGTGTCTCAATGTGTGTGCCGCCAGACGCGCAGCAACACACAAACACAGCTTACCTTGTACTGGAACACAGCCTGGCCATGCCCCTGGGCTGACTGCATCGCCAGGGCATTGGTCACCTGAGACGGAGGCGGGGTCGACGGCGAGGCTTGCTGCGGGGACGTCTCGGAGTTGTCCTCTTCCATTGGCTGCCGTGTGAGCCCATTGATCGATTTGTTGTACAGGCCGCAGGCGTTGCACAAGTAGTGGCCAGTGCTGTCCCTCCTCCACAGCGGGGTGGAAATTGTGCCGCAGTTGACGCATTCTCTGCCTTCCACCACTCCGTAGTAGTCGTCTGCTGCATCTATAACAAAAGTTGAAAATAAAATATATAAACCAAAATGACCTAAACGGTGTTCCATAATTATATACATGAATATTCATTATCATCATGTCGCAGGTTTTTTTTTTACAGAACGTCGCTCTCATCACGTTCTGCCTTAAAGAAACTCGGCGGTCTCTCGTCAGCTCTACCGCCTCGCATACTTTCATATTCAAGGAATCACTTTATCCTGTGCCCATCTTCGTGTTGGTCGGCACCTGCCTCTCCTTCCTGATACCATGCCTTCTGCTATTACATGTTCCAATCCGCCATAGCGCTTGATCTGACCAACATATTTCAACTGCCGATAAGGTTTGGTCAAATCAATAGAAAAGGTCAAATGTCATACAGGAATGTAAGATTTGCGTAGGTGATTGTGCCAACATTACCATAACATGTATACCGATAAAGGAATTAATCAAGTAACAGAAAGTGTATTGATCGGCACTCATAGAAAGAAGTAGAAAGATAGAAGAACACACTAGACAACATAAAATCGAAAGCTATAGTTACAGTGCCGGGAATTGAACCTGTCACCTCCAGACGGCGTGTGCGCCTCGCCAAAGGAAGAAACAGACGGCCAGCCACCACGAAATCTTTGTTGGGGTGGAAAGTGTAGGGAGGGGGTAAAGGGGCAAAAAGGGACGGAAATAGTGAGAGGAAATAGAGGATTTAGAATGGCGATACTCATGGATACTAAGCCTTGTTTAAATGCGCAATTATTATTATTACAATATTTTAATTATTATGAGTTCTTGTCTTTTAGTTCACCATATCTCGGGGACTCCGGGATTTAGTGGGGAGTTCCGGCATATTCCTACATTAAAGGGGGCTTAGGGTTAATGGTAATAGGTGTTCATTTCATATCATAACACCCCTATACCATTTGACTTTTGCCGGGAACTCCCCACAAATCTTTAAGTTCTCAGAATGGGGTAAATTCAAAGAAAAAAAAAAAACCTTATTAAGTGCTAAAAAGCATATACATGTAATAATATACTCGACATTGTAAGAAATGGTAAACACATACTGAGAAAGGTTTGAGGTTTGAACAACGGATCAACATCATGGCACACGGGCAGTAACCTATAAGTGATCCGTTCTACTTTTAATTCAAGTCTAAGTCCAAAGTCGCTCAGCATAGTTCACGGGCTCCGTAGCACCGGCGAGGATCCTAAAATATATTAGGTAGATTTTTAACTCTAAATTTTGCCCGAGCAGCACTTTTAGGCTACTCTATTCGATTTCTAAATTCCAAGGGATTTTTTTACGTGTGCAACAATACACACGGGCGTCCCGTCAAACTACTCAGAGATTGAGGAAAATTAACAGAAATCCACAGGAAAAATATTCCAGCCTTCACCGGGGTCTGAACCCGGGACCTTTATCACACGGAGCGGACACCATGCATCGAGACCACACAAAACCCCTATACTTAGAAAGAGAACATCTAAACATGTTTAGGGAGAAACCACTGAGCCGTCTGTCAAACTGCCTAAGGCGTGTCCCTCAAGAATCCTCTATTTTTGTTTACCTTTCGGCAAAAGGATTAAAAAAACTGGATCAACTGGCACTGCTTTTGCCGCAGTGACCCCCCTCGCCCCGTTTATATTCTATGCGCTTGCACACAACAGTCGAACACCACATCACTGGAGCTGTCAAACACACAGTTCCACTCAAGGTTATATTATCTCAGAAGATCAGCTACAACAGCAAGAGGACGGCCGAGAAAAAATAGATCGACAATATTAAAGATACTTTACTCCTTCACGGCATGAATAATAGCCAGTGGCAGCCAGCGTGCACTGAACTGCATATTATTCCTCACCCACGGAGTTTAACGGCAGAAGTGGTTTATGATGATGATGATGATGATGATGATGATGATAGGGATGATGATGATGATAGGGATGATGATGATGACGGACTAAGGGATCGCTAATGGCATTAAGCAAACAGATTATATAGCGTACACACAAGAAGAGTACAAAAGTGACACTGAATGACAACATGAGATGACATAATGAGTTGTGACATGAGATGACACATGGCATGTAACATGAGATAACACATGACATGTGAAATGAGATGGCACATGAAATGTGGCATCACATGACAACACGAGATGACAATATGAGATGTGATATGAAATGACTGATCCGTGAGATGTCATTTGCGATGACACATGAGATGTCACATGGGATGATTCACATGAAATGACACATGATAGGCAACGTGTGATGTTTCAATGAAATGTTACATGAGAGGCGACATGGGATGTTTCACATGAGATAATACATGAGAGGCGACGTGTGATGTTTCACCTCAAATGACACATGAGAGGCGACACTGGATGTTTTACATGAAATGACACATGAGAGGCGACATGGGATGTTTCACATGAGAGGATACATACGATGACACATGAGATGTAACATAGGAGGACGCATGAGAACTGACACTAGATGATACATGATATGTCAAATAAATGCCACTTGAAAGTCAACAAAAGAAGGGGTAACGGAAGCAATTTTGTGTCTGCATACAAATGAGTCAGACCTGTAAAACGGATGCACACGCAACACTTAGGTTTTGGAACAGGACTGCAGTCCAAAAGTAGATAAACAACCAAAACTTTCCACCAGAGTTTACAGCTGGTGAAGGCGAAGAAGAAAAATAAGAATTTTGTGTGATGGCAATACTGGGCCACAGAAGCAGGGGGAACTCAGATTTGAGTGGCCAGCTTCAAGAGATGGGCGACGAATAATGACATATGAACTCTTCAGTAAAATCCCAGATGACAGCAGACTAAGATGGAAGGTGGTGATCGCCTAGTAGGGCACACGAATAAGTATAAAAACATTTATAGTTCGGTAAAAGGGAGTATAACAATTGAGAAATCGAAGCAATATGTTGTGGTACGTATGACTGTGGCTGAGGTGTTGCGAACGCGTTTCGCAATGCTGGGGGGAGGGTAGGAAGCGGGTTCGATTCCATCTACAGGCGAATTAGCAGCAGACCGCCTTGTGTTAGTTTTGACAATGGTATCGAGTGTTCACCGTACAGAAAGTACTGACAAAATAATAAGTGTAAATTTGCTTTAAAAAAAAAAAAAAAAAAACAGCCAACAAAATGCTGGAGTTGATTCTGCAAGGCCCTTAAAGGATAAACGACTAGCTTTATGAGACAGACAGGTAACACCAATAATAGGTGCCAGATGGGTGGCGGTGGGGAGGGGGGGTGTCAATGTTTTTTGCTAACCTCCAATGAAATGGGTTTGTTGCATAAATATGTATAGTACTATGACATGCATAAACAAATAGTCTACTAACAGGATACTGCATCCTCAGCTAACATTTGCATAAAATAAAGATTGTACAGTCCCCACAGAGTGCCTGTCAAACAGGACCACAAACACCTGAGCACATTCTGCAGACCTGCCCACTCTACCTACAACTTTGAAAAGACACCTGGTCTCAAGAGCAAAGTGTGCAGAGCAAGCTATGGGTAACCATGAAGGACCTGCTACTGACATGAGAATTCATAGAGGTACCCCAACTGATGATCTGATCTGAGCATACGAAAACGAACGCCAAAAGAAAAGAAAGAGTTTTTTTCTTTAATATCCAGAAACCACGAGTTCTTAACTCTTTGGCTCGGTTCTATGGATATCGCAACCATTCGGACTTGATTCCATGATAGGTACTGTAAATCTGGGAGAAATGTGGCTATTCTGCCGATCCCCGGGAGTGAACCCAGACCACAAGGAGTTCGTCACCCGGTCACCGGGATGTCAGGCTTAACCAACTTTTAAAAAGGCGGGTGACCCTTTAATTCCCCTTAAAAAAAAGTTGAACCTGCTTAAGAACTGTGAGCTACCAGGTACCAGCGTCTATGTTCATTGTCTGTCTGCTTCAAAAGACAAGAAACCCGTTTTACGCCTGTCTTTTCTCTAGTTTCCTCTTTGCACAAACAAGATCCCCGGCATTAATTGCCTTTCATGAATTAAAAACGTATTGTATTAACCATTTAACGCATGTTTGCTGTTCGTGGATGCGAACCAACATGCTCTGAGTTTGTGTCCGGGGTACCCAGCTGCGAGTCTGCCTCCAACGGACCAGTGTTTACCCGCCGTCTCCGAAGTTGGCGGCAACCCAGACAGGAAATCAATGGTGTCCGCCTGCACGCATGCGCACCGATTAGATGTTGGATCTAAACTGTTTGATGGATGTCACGGGTTGACATGTTCGATTGGGATCTTCTAAAACCGGCCGTGTGTTTTTCTCCGTGTTATGTCCGGAATTCATTAATTTGTCCATTCTGATCTGTGATCTGTTTGCTGAAGTTCTGGGCGTCGAATTTGGTCATCACTAGGTTTATAGAGAGGAAGAAAGCAGCAAAAGTAGAAATTCAATACTTGGGTTTAAAAAGGGGGGGGGGTGCAGAGAAAGAGAGAAAGAATGAGTGAGAGATAGATAGAAAGATATATATAGAGAGAGAAAGAGAGAGAGAGAGAGAGAAAAAGAGAGAAAGAGAAAGAGAGAGAGAGAGAGACAGAGAAAGAGAGAGAGAGAGACAGAGAGAGTACCAAAAATATGCTAACGCGGCTGCTGAGTCTTCATGTGGGTTCTTGGGTGAGTCCCAATGTGGGTACCAGGGTGAGTCCCCATGTGGGTTGGTGGGTGAGTCCCCATGTGGGTTCCTGTGCCCTATGTATGGGGGGAGGGGATATATCCACTGCTCCCTATGTGTAAGGATTGCTCTTCTGATCCGGCAGTTTCTGCAGTTAGCTGTGTCCTCAAAGTATTGTGTTACATTTCCTTTGGAGCTAAGCAGGCCGAGCGAGAGTGATGAAGCTGCATAGCCAACACATGGTCTCTACATCTTTTTCTTCGCCTTTACTGGTTGCAAACTCCAGCGGAAGGTTCTGGTTAGTGGTCCACCTCTGGACCTTAGTGTTTGTCCAGAACTTGAGTTTTTAC